CAAACACATTAATGCAGCAAAAGGACTGATAAGTTCAAAGCAAGCATATACATACTTAAGTCAAAATACATTTCTTTTACTTTGGTAAATCAAGTTTTTTTTTGTTTTTTTTTTTTAGAGACACAACTGCTCGTTAATTCAATGGCTAAACAATGTATCACAAGCCTGTTACACAATGCATAACACAGATAGGGACAGTCAACAGAATGGAGAATTATGTATGATCTAAGGCAAGGCAGGGATGGACTGTCCTTAAAAAGAGAAGTATTGGAATATTTTTTATTTTAAAATCTTACTTACCTAGGTGGGTGCAGCATTGATCTGCCAGTCACCGATGTCTGCTCTGCCCCCTGCCAGCGCTCACTGGAGCACTGGGCTGTGGGGGGGGTGGTGGGAGCGGCTGGCTCAGGGTCTCAGAGAGGCTGAGGCAGGTGCTGGTCCAGGGCTCTGAGTGGATCCTGACAATATGGTCGGGACCTTTCCCCAGCCTGGATCGGCTCTGTGACGTTGGCCAACAGTGGGCTTTAGCTTGCGGTCAGCTGAAAACGGTTCACGAGAGTGAAGAATGAACTGCACTCCTGTGATCCTCAGGAAAAGCACAGCAAAACTAGCTTTGACTGTATTTCTCCTTAAGAACTTCAGCCATGAAGCCAAACTTCACTTTTTGCACACATTAAAATTCACATTTTAGACATAATTAGGTAAAAACCCTCTAAAGCAGAGGTCTTGGAATAAAAATGGTGGTAGTTGCAATTTTTTTATGTCACATCACATTAGTGCAATGGTCTATCAAACTGATATTTTTAGTAAAAAATACACTAAAATTAATTTTAGTGCACACAAAAACAATATACTACCCAATTTTTTGGTAAAATACCGAAGATGAGGTTGAGCCAAGTTCTCAACATGTCAAGCCTTATAACTGCATGAGACAGTAAAACTTCTGTACTTAGAACTGTCCAAAGCCACTACAGGCCATTTGTTGAGAGCAGCATGGAATTATTGCGCTCACTCCTGTGTGCACCGTGATATAAAATATATGTAGGGCATTGGCCATTTTTGTATGTAGGTGCACCAATGTGTGCACTTTTGAATGCATGTGAAAGGGATTTAAAAGTAAACAAAAAAAACTATTTGTCACTTTAAATGTTTAAAACTTTTTTTTTTTTTCTTTTACATTACTAGTATATAGGGGACCAAGAGGCTCTTATGTGATAGAATATAGGTTGTGACAGGTTTTCTTTATGGAAATATCAGGGGTCTCTATTGGACACCTGCTGTCTCTTCTGTGTCTCCTACACAGATTGCACTCCATTAATGGATTCTCCTGCCAGTGCTGCTGGAAAGTTACAATTCTGAACCAGGAAGTGACATAATACAGTTTCCTAGTCCAATCAGGAAGCGACGTGACTCCAGTGGGGCTGCCCCCTCACTGCAAGGTTAAAGGCTTGTTTAGGTCTAGGGCAGGGGTGGGCAACTGTGGCCCTCCAGCTGTTGGTGAACTACAAGTCCCACCATGCCTCTGGCTTTGGGAGTCATGCTTGTAACTGTCAGTTTTGCAATACCTCATGGGACTTGTAGTTCTACAACAGCTGGAGGGCCACAGTTGCCCACCCCTGGTCTAGGGGACTGGAAAATGCTATTTTACTTACCCAATCCTCCTCTCCCACTGGCACCCTCTACGCAGCAAGTTTTTTCCAGCAGTCTCTTCTCCCCTATGCTCTAGTGGTCACAGGTCCTGACATCAAGGACAATGTCCATACTCTTGAGGAACAGTCCACTGCCAGACCAGAGCACCCTCTACTGGGAAAATGGAGGTTCAAGCGAGTAAAACTGTTATTTTCCATCTCCTAGACTGGGTGTCTCCAAACTTTCTAAACAAAGGGCCAGTTTACTGGCTTTCAGACATTAGGGGGGCCAGACTGTGGCCATTGGGAGTAGAAATTGTCCTGCTTCATTGGGAGTAAACAATGCATCTATGGCATTAGGAGAGGAATATTCTTGGTGTAAGTTGGAGAAATAGTGCCCCATCATTTTGTCAGTGGTAGAATAGTGCCCCATTGTTGGTATCAGTGGGAGGAATAGCATCCCCTGGTTTGTTTCAGTGAGAGGATTAGTGCCCAATTGTTGGTGTAAATGGGAGGAATAGTGACTGCTGTGGATATCAGTAGCAGGAATTATGCCCCTTGTTGGTGTCAGTGGGAGAAAAAGTGCCCCAAGGGCCAGATAAGGGCAAGCAAAGGACCATATCCGGTCCCCCGGGTCGTAGTTTGGAGACCACTGTCCTAGACCTTAAAAACAAGTAAATCTTGTAGTACAGGAGCAGCCGTACTGTAAGGAAAGATTTTTGTTTTTACCCAGTGATAAGCTTAAAGTATATCTATATCCAATGAAATACAGAAAAGCTGAACTTAGGGCATCACAGCAGCCTCCTCTTATACTCCTGGACAGTGTATACACTTTTTTTCTTAAATTTCTATCCAAATGGAAATGTAATGACGTGGTCACATGACAGCACCAGTTCCATTCTTCCTATGGTATGTCCGTGGACAAGAAGCAGTGGACTACATGTCCCAGGAGTCTGTGCAATTCAAGCTGCTATGGGCATGCCACTGTGCTGTTTGAGCCAAAAGTAAAAAAACCACTGGCTGTGATGGCTGCATCCATAGGTCACCCCTGTAGTATTGAGAACTATAGGGTGTGTTAAACGGCAGCTGGCTGCAGCGGGAAGCAGCAGATGAAGCCCAATCTCATACAGCCAAAAGAGTACACAAAAGGTGATCTGCATGCAGAACATGGAACTGTAATGCACAGGAAAAAAAAAAAAAAAAGAAAGAGGTGAAGTCGGGACCCCTCTAATATATTTTAAAAAGATTCACCTTTTTTAAATCTGCAGCTTTCATTAAACTAATCCCAGGTGATTATGCCAAGAAGTTCAGGTTCTTCCTGTTATAGGACGTCGCCTAGTCACAGCTACCTATAGACTCCGTCAGGTGTGTGTATGTGATAGGAGGACAAGGCAGAACCACATAACTGAATGTGAGTGAACAAGTGAGACATGATGCCAAACATGCTGGAAAATAGATTTTGGGTTTACATAAACTTTAGGTTCTTGTACATTATGTAGAACCCACAGGGGAAGTGTAACACCTCGCAAAGAGGTTTGATCACAAGCACCCACCCAGAAAGACACAAGTAGTAACAATCCTAATCAACTCTCCAGCAGCATGAAAAGTATGATGTACTATTAGGTGAAACTGGCCTAGTAACAAAATAGACACATGGTGGAATAGTTGCATGCTTCCCCTGGACTTTGGAAGCCCACCTATAGAACACAACGCAAGTCCCATGTTCCATTGTTGTTGTCAGACAATAGAGGGGGCACAGACCACTCTGCTGGCTTCCTGACTGTACAATGCGACTCCCGCTGCCACATACAATACGTATAGGAGTCTTCTGAAAGAAGCCACAGGAGCTCGCACTGCAGAGTGGCAATTAATCTCTACAAAATTATCCTTGTGTGTTTCCCTCAGTGTTGTAGAGTTCATGTGTTTGTACTATGAAGATCTCAAAGAACCCGAAATGCACATCGTGATCACTATGTCAAAGAAAACATCTAACATCTTACATTGATAGCTGTGAAAGAAACCAATGTAACTTTGAGGGTGATAACAAAAAAAAAAAATAATAATAATATATACTACTACAGTATAACAGGACCTCGTTTCCTTTAATGCTACCCGTGTGGAAGTTTGGAAAAAGAAAAAAAAAAAAAAAAAAAAAGGTCAGGATGTATGGCAATGCTTCATTCCACAGCTTTCACTGCAAAGGATGAGCAAAGACACAAAACAACCCCTCACTGGCTATCATCCATTATTTTGCATATATGGTTCACATAACCAGGTATGTGTATTTTTTTCCAGCCCCCACCTTAAAAATGGAGACAAAAAAAACTTCTAAAAAGCTGAACACCAGCCCTCCTTCAGTTTCGCAGAGATATATACCTGCCTCTCCTGCACTGAGAAATGGTTTTACTCCAATTTAACTGCACATTGTGAGCTTCCCACAATATGCATTAGTAGCTGAAGCAAGACACAGAGCCCACTTCATTTCCAGGCTGGAAGATGTCCAGCATCATCTAGCGTTCATCTCCCCAGCCTCACTATCCCTTGCCTGCCCCTTTAATTTGACTCTAGTTCTTTCAATCACAGAGGCTCAGGATTACATGTGGTCATTACCTGGGGGTGATCTGCATGCAAATGGAGCCTGCCTAGGATCACCTACTACTTCAAAGTGACATCCACCCCTCAAGGCAATTTGATACTTGCATAACTCCTCTCGAGAGGCAGCCGCTGCCTGTATTAGGGTTGAGGGCTCTTGGGAGGAGTACTGCGGCAGCGGCAGCATGATGGGATGTTTTTAGGAAGCTATGTACAACAGAGACTCAGATGATATCACTGGGACCTAAATTAAGGCATGTAAATAAAAAAAAAAAAAAAAAAAAAAAAAGGGTACAAGGAGAACCTGGAAGAGCAAATATAAATCAGATTGCACTACAGCTTTGAAGGGTCAATCTGCCCATAAGTTATATTTTAGTGTTCGGTGGATGCTAGCATGATAAACCCTCCCTTTATCCATCTAGTTAAACCCATAGAATAAAATCAATAGAAAATGTCCATATACAGAATCTTATAGCCACAGTTGATCCAAAGGATGCCAAAAAAAAACCCCAAACACAATAAAGCATGTTCCAATTACTGGTAAAGAAAACAGGAGTTCTATAATGGGTACACGCTGCAAAAAAAAAATATATAAAATCAGACTGCAAACGTACCTAATCCCAAAACAAACAAAAAAAAAAAAAAAACAACACAACATTGCCTGCTCCAACCCCCGTTTTTTTTTTTTTTTTTTTTTTTTTAAATTTTGAGTGGAATGGGGAAGTCATTCTATAGGCATCTATTTTCAGCAGGTCTTCAGGTTTTTCAGATACCACTCACCTGGTGGTCTTGGATCTTCCTGCCCACCACCCGAAACGTATTGTTTCCTGTATGGTGATAAATATGGACTCTGCTAAATCCCGTAGAGCCGCCTGCTGGTATCCATTTCTTGTTGGCATCGTCGTACACCATAACAGCAGCCCGGGCCTGGCAGATGCTCTGTTCACTGCAAAGACACAAGTGGCAATGGTCAGTGTAAAAAAAGAATTGTAGTGTATTCTCACGCATTTTCAGTTATTCTAACATTAATTAGAAATTATTTTTACTGTGAAATATTACACTTGAGGTAGCCGGTTTCATAATATTAATTTATTTACCGTACATACTCCTAGGCACTCCTTCTCTTTGTGTGCTAAGCTTGCTGAACAACTGCTGAGATTATTATATTATTATTATACAGTATTTATATAGCGCTAGAAGGTTTGCTCAGCGCTGTACATTATAGTGGGGGACAGAACATTATAGTACATTATAGTGGGGGACAATACAGTAACAAAACAGTACACGAGGGGTTCGAGGGCCTAGGATAAAATCAAATAAAGGATAAAAACACACACGTTGCTCATCAATGGTCAGAGCAGAGGCAAGGTCCCAAGAAAGTGGTAAAGGGTTATAGAAAAACCACAGTAAAAACTCTGCAGGGCTCTACATAAATCTGTACATGGAGATATACAGAAACATTCTCACACCAATGATGTCACAATGTAGCTGTATTAAAAAAATAAATAAATAATAAAAGAAAAAAAAAAAAAAAACACCAAACAAAAAACACAGCAGCAGGTTCCCACTTCATACCATCCACTTTGAAGTATTTTGCCCCTTAGGGCTTAGTTGATATAGGTCTCCTATGTGCCCTGTTCACACCATAAGGCTGGTGTGATGTGTGGAAAAATGCAGATTGCTACATTTCTCTGCAGTGGGTTTGAAGCCACCGCAGCAGGTTTAAACGGAGTGAAGCTTGGTACCATTTCTTTACTAATGTTTATTCGGTGTTAAGTCATAACAAGCACAAAGTTGCCCATGCAGGGGGACCAAACAGTTGTACTTCGTATCGTTCAAACAAGCATGAATGCACACAGAACCAAACAAATGCTCAAAGTATGAGGGAGTCTAGGCCAATAAACTGCGCAGGGTCTAGATTCCCCAAAGGCCAGAAGTCTCATTGTACTCACATTAGAGAAAGAGGAGAGAAAATAAAAGATGAGACAGGAAAGACAAAAGAAAAAAAAAAAAAAAAAAAAGAAGGAGGGGGGGGGGTGATCCCGGGGAGTAGGCCTCTGAAGACTCAGGACTAATATCCGAGGTTTAAGGTGGGCACAGAATAAGTCACCTAAGGTTCCCAAACCTTACTTGGGAGTGGGAGTCATTGAAAATGCTAGTCATTTTTCCATTTACCAGTAAGGTGGTAATGCAATCCTTCACTCCCTGACATGGTACTGATGAGCGACGGTCCACTTAGCAGACAGTAACAGGTAAGAAGCCAATTTCTGCTGATCTGCCAAAAAGTCCTGAATAGGGCAATGTAAAAGAGCCAATTTAGCATCTTTCCAAATTGTCAAATGAAAAAGTGTGCAACAGGCCAAAAACTCCAGAACCAGGACCAGAAACCAGTCACGTGGACAAGACCACCATATACGCAGCACGTCCCCCATTTGGCCACAGATCCATCTGTCACTGTGTCCAGGAAAGCTTGGTACCATTTTAAAATGGTAAACAGTGCATTGTACCACTCTCCCACCACTCAGCACAATGAACACCAGCCTGTGCACAAAGATGAAGCGGTTTAGCGTCAGCGAATATGGACAGGCCCGAATAACAGACACTGATGACTGTAACAAACATCTCTGTGTGTGCGGTTTAAATCTGTACAGTCTGCATACTTGTGTGAAACAGTGACTCCAAGTATCAAAGCCACTGGGCCAGCATGACATCATGGCAACTATCCTTTCTTAGGCAGGCCATACATAAAGCAAGGCTGCAGAAAAGAAATATGTTGATGAGGAAATTCCTCCTGCAGTGCTATTGTGTTCTTCTGGTGGGAAGCCGCTGGCAGGGATCGCAAGAAAAAAGTCCGACAAGCTGGTTGCACTGATGTCAATCCATCGATCAACCTCATTACAACCAAGCAGCCTGCCCATAGATGGATCAAATCTTGGCTGGCTCCTGCTAAACTGGCCCCCACATTCAATCCATGTATGGCCAGATTTAGAAGGAGGGGATGGCAATGGCCGGTCACGACAACTGAGGGTGTACGGTATTAGTTCACTTTTTTTTTTTTTTGAAAAAATTAACTTACACTTTCCACTGCTCTGTTCAGAGCTGAAAGGAAACATCCTGTAGCTCCAAACATGGAGGAGCATGTGACCGCATTGGGCCAATCAGCACTTTCTACACGGGGCTTTTCTTTTACTCCCAGCTATGAACGATGCAAAACGAAGGCATGTCATGAACAGCAGACACTCCCACTGGAAGGCTGAATTCACCTTTCAGCTGGTGTGTGACAGTTGAACATAGACAAGACTCAGATACAACATTAGCTGACCCAAAAAAATAATTTCCAGTCTTTAGAAAGAGTATAGAAGTCAACTAAAGGGTGTGTTACATATCTGCTTGTTCTTTAAAAACGCTGCTCCACCAGATGTCAGCACTAAGGAGGTGACAAATCTGACATTTCAGCTTGTTTTTAAGTGACAAAATCCTTGTGGCTTCCCACTCGTGAAGCAAAAGGACACCGCAGTACCACAAATGTGTTATGTCAAAAAAGGATCTATTAACCACAACCACAGGTGTATGCACTGAGCAGCCTCAACAGCACTGAAGGGGAATTTGAAATACATATAAATAGATATATTTTCCTCATAGGATCTAATTATATGTGTATTTTTTTGCTCATCACACATGTAAGCTTTGCTTCCTGGATGCACCACGATGATCCTCTTAACCCTTATGTCACCAGAGGTGACTGATGCCAAGGCCAATATTAGCAGCGGCAGCATGCACTGGTGAACAGGACCGTAACAATGACCGATTTGTCTCCCTAAATAGTGTTCGCTTTATTTTTCAAGGGTCTACAAGGACTGATAGACTATTTTAATATATTAACATCTTTCTTACTACAAGCTGTTAAATGAAAAAAAGTTTTTTTTAAAAAACATTAACGAGTAACAGCTTATAGCTTTTTTTTTTTTTAATTATTAATGTTTTTATTTTCTCATTTCACTTTACAGGTGGCTGATAATGTACCGTGCCAAGATGACAGCTGGTGGGATGTTGTCAACAAACCCATGTGCTCGCTATGATTGACTGCCATAGTGACCACTTACTCAGGAACCATTCTGATTGGCTGCCAATTGCTAATCTGCCCAGACAAGCATGAATGACACTGGGGTTCACAAAGTGGGACATCATGCTGGGGACCGCCAAAATATATAAATTATGGGTGGGAACTGGTTAAAAGTAGAAGAAAAGCAATCACAAGATTGTCAGGTGAGTTTTGGATACAAAAGGGAACAGTTCAAACCCCTTTCATGGAGAGTTCACCCCTTAAGCTGGCCTGTAAACAAGTCCTTTTAGTTCAAATAGCGAGGTGGATGGGGGAATCCCTCCCGCTCAGCTTTTGTATTGACATCTTTGCTATCACAATATGCCGATCAGCACCTACAGCTATAAATTTTCCAGCAGGCTGGTTGTATGCAAGTCAATTAATAGATCAACTTGTGTACAATCAGCCTGCCCATAGCTGAACTGGACACATTTTGATCCATGTATGGCCAGCTTTAGAGGGTTATCAGTAAAACTGGTGTCTTCATTTGACAGTTTGAAGGTCACTCTCCAATTCAGGTGATTTAAAGCTAGCCTGGTCATAATGATACACTCCATCTGTCCTTTCCCATAGTATATAAAGCTTGTTTTGTCTCCTTGGGAGGGGGAGATTCAAATAGCGAGGAAGGCATAGTCCCACAGGCTTCCTCCCTGCTGGTTCTGCTAGCCACATCCAGTTACATCAAACATCTTCTCTGGTGATGCCGCCAAACTCTCACCTTGCAGCCACCGCTGGTCCTACATGGTACATGATGGTGTCAAGATGAGAAAATGAGCATTATGTTGTACCAATGCTAAAGGTAGGACTTTTTCTTTGCAACCATGGTAACAGTACCCAACCTATTGTCTTCTCAGAATTTCCCAGCCCCCCCGCTGCTATCAGTATCTCAGTTATTCTCCGAAATTTTCACCAACCAGAAAGTCAGAATTACAGGCAGCATGATGCCCTCATCAGTGCATTTATTGATGTGCACATTGAAAGGGATGCCAGGGTGCACCGTTCCTTATTAGAAAGGGCCCTAGAAAAGCTCATTTCAAAAGCAGGCAAGAAACAACATAGCTGAAATCCTCACCATGTATGTAAGATAAATGATTTAATCTCCAATGAGCTGGAGTTCCCCTTTAACCCTTCCAGCCTTTGTTTTGGAAGGGAAAGCCACCTGTAGGATTATGAGTCACAAACCCAGTGTACATTGGAGAGAATCAGGGACTCGCCCACAGAAATGTCAATGCAGACTGAGATCTATGTTTAATACACGGTTATTAATAACACTCTGCTATGCACGCTTTCCAAAAGCACAGAAAGCAGCTCAAACATGCCGAGTATGCCCGATGCAGGCCTCAGAAGAATCCCGACATCAGAGATGGCACAAAAAAATGACTGTTTTTCAGAATTTACCTTGGCTCTGCAGCGAGGCATCACCCGAATTAATTCACATTTTCAGGCCACCAGGCTTGTCTTAAAGGCTAAGTTCACCTTTAAGTGAAAAATAAAAATAGACCATATTTTGGCTGGTAAACGTGCATTTAGTATTCATTTATTTGTTAACAAACATTGCACCTACGATCAGTGGAATGCAGGTGCAATGTCAGACACATCCTTCAGCTTTCTAATGGTACCTCTGTACAGGCTTTCCATTATATAGCTGGAGAAGATTCAATGGAATACAACTGTGCTGATCACCACGCTTGCAGCCCATTGAGAATTACAAGTTGTTAGCCATGGTAGCAGACTGGACTTGTAGTTTACTCATTTGCAGATTTCTGTGAACAAATGAAGCAGCTCTATGGGTGGAGCCTCACACAGGCTT